TTTGACAGTCCCTACAGGGAAAGGTGGTGCCACTTCTGGCTGTTCCATAACATAACCCATTTTGCAGTACTCACAGTATGGGCAACCTGGGGGCAGTGGGTACCTATCAGAAATAAGCACATTTGACAAAATTTAGATGGAAAAACCTTTAATAACAAATTTAGGGAGTAAATAAATATATATTTATAACACATTAATGCATATTTATTAAATTTATTATTATCATGCATAGATATATAAAAACAATTATATTTAAAATAGAACAAGGGTTAAAATTGTGTAAGAAAATATAAACTTGATTGGAGAGATTTTTGTTTTTTGTTTGTGTCTTTCTGAATCTTTTACATTCCCTAAAATAAACATTTTTTTATAATCAGACACAAAAAAATGCTATAAAGGAAGATATATAAGAATCATATTACATTATTTGGAAACCCAATATAGGATATTTGACACTATATATTTTTGAAATATTCTATTAGCTTGCAAGAAATAATTTTTTTATATTTTTTTCCTCAGTACACAACATTTTTAAAATGTGATATTAAAGTGAAGAGTCATATTTTCTTTCTTACCTATAGAAAGGCCTGTCTGTTAACACTAAAGGATCAATGAATGCTCGTTCCAGAAACATCAGCTGATCATTCATAATCCTCAATAATATTAGGCTAAAAGCAAATTAGTATAGGTATAAGTGCATTAAATTTTATTACCCAGCAAGCAAAAATATTTAAAATCCCTATAATGTGCAAATTAATAACCACAACAGGTAATAATCATATTTTTGATATCTTGTAAAATTCTATTTTGCTGAGACTTATGAAACTATTGAAGCAGTAACTTGTGCCAAAAAAACCAAAAACATTTGATAGTAATTTTTATGTAAATGGAAATAGTAAGTGGTAAATCTAAGAAAATGAATTTGGGAAAGGCTTTTTTCACCTTAGGAATCTTCATTATCTACATTGGAAGTCATATCAATATTTAAATGAGACAATTTATAAATGTTTTGTGGTGCCAGGCAAATTATAAATATTTTTTAAGTGAAAACTCCTGACATTTTCTTGTTATTAAGGATAAACCTTCATGAGCATAAGAGATGGTGTCTTTGTGTTCTTTCAAAGGTAGTGGAAAGCCTACAATGTATCCAACAATACCATAGAATTTGCATTGCAAATTCTGGTGGTATGCTTGTTATTGTCATAAAAATGATTCAGCATTGAATTCAATATATTGCTTGTGTCATAATTTAATT